TGCGTACAAATGAACTAAAATTAGGTTCTGATTCTTACCTCAATTCGTACAGGGGAGATGGTTGTAGGGCCATCAAGAACACTCTTCATGGATGAAATATCGACAGGCCTAGACAGCTCCACAACATTTCAGATAGTGAAGTGTTTGCAACAAATGGTACATATCACAGATGCCACCATATTGATGTCCCTCCTCCAGCCAACTCCAGAGACGTTTGATCTCTTTGATGATATCATTCTATTATCAGAAGGCCATATTGTGTATCAGGGCCCACGAGAGCATGTCCTTGAGTTCTTCGAAAGCTGTGGATTCAAATGTCCTGACAGAAAAGGAACTGCTGATTTTCTACAAGAGGTAATCATATGGTAATAATAATTAATTAGTTTCATTATGAAATAATGTAGAAAATAAAAGCAAGAACAATGATCTGTATGATGCTAATAGGTTACATCAAGAAAAGACCAGGAGCAATACTGGGCAGACCGAAGTGAGCCACACAGATACATTCCAGTCAGCGAATTCGTAGAAAGATTTAGGCATTTCCATGTTGGTCTGCAGCTTCAAAATGAAATATCGGTTCCGTATGAAAAGACCCAAAGTCACAAAGCTGCTCTAGTTTATGAGAAGTACTTGGTCCCCAGCCGAGAACTTCTCAAAGTCAACTTTGAAAAAGAATGGCTTTTAATCAAGAGAAATTCTTTCTTCTATATTTTCAAAACAGTCCAAATTATCATTGTTGCAATGATTGCATCAACTGTTTTCTTGAGGACTAAATTACACACTCGGAATGAAGAGGATGGTGCTGTGTACATTGGTGCACTAGTGTTTGGAATTATTATTAATACATTCAACGGTGTTGCTGAGCTCTCACTCATCATAGAGAGACTTCCTGCCTTTTATAAGCACAGGGACGTACTTTTCCATCCACCTTGGACTTTCACACTACCAATTTTTTTGCTAAGGATACCAATATCTCTGTTTGAGTCAAGTGTGTGGATAGTCATGACGTACTACACCATTGGATTCGCCCCTGAGGCTAGCAGGTAGTTTTTGCTTTCTTTCTCTATCTTTACTCACACTTTAATGGACTATATATATGCATGAGATCACATATTCAATGGACCTTAAAATGACACAAAATGCAGCTATGGGACATGTTTTTTATTTCGAGTTTGCTGAGCCAAAATCGTTTTAGCAGCTATCGTCTATAGCTAAAATGATGGATTTCAGAAATTTGGTTTGGTGGAAATCAGTTCCAAATCTGAGTTCGTGATGTATATAGTTGCATAAACATTCTGTGCAAAATAATAATTTTTTGCCAACGAATAAATTGAACCAGAATTATATGGAAGACGCAAATTTAAGATTCGTAGGGCACTAGTACATTTATTCCACTTTTGGGCCAGCCAATCTCAGAAGAATGTTATCAAAGAGGAAATACTACTATACTCTTGCTTATCGGTGTAAAGTGTATGATTAAATTTGTGAGTTCTATGAAGATGAAAATGTGCATTGACTGCTATCATTTGTCCTTTCTTAGGTTGTTCAAGCAACTCCTGTGGGTATTTATGATCCAACAAATGGCTGCTGGGGTATTTAGGCTGATTGCAGGAATATGCAGGACAGTAATTGTCTCAAACACTGGTGGCTCTCTTACTCTTCTCCTCGTGTTCCTTTTGAGTGGTTTCATCCTTCCTAAAGGTTTGTTCAGAACAAAGACCCACTTCAACTTGCATCAGAATCCAAAAGTTATACGAAACAAATAACACACGACACAATTCATTTGTATAAATAATTTTAGTTAATGATGTGAGAACAGACACTTAATTATATTTAATTTTCATTTACCAAATGTTCATATTAAAATTCTATTTCATTCCATGATCAGGATTTTGAAATGAGAACTAATTAACAAAGTTATACAATAAATACTCTTCTTTAAGTATCACATTTATTACACCACAAATACATCTAAGGAAGTTCTCATTTGTCTATGCTATATGATGGCCAAGTTGGTTGATTAAGTGTAGGTAAATTACAATTAGTTGTGTTCTCCATGCAGGCCAAATTCCAATCTGGTGGAAGTGGGCTTACTGGGTTTCACCCCTGACCTATGGCTACAACGCTGTTGTAGTAAACGAGATGTTAGCACCAAGATGGATGAACAAATTGGTATGTTTTTCTCTAAGTTTCCTCATGCCTTGGAGGAAATATTTTCATGTTGCTAAATTTGATCCCATCACAGGCGTCAGACAATGTTACAAGATTGGGGGTGGCAGTTCTACGTAATTTTGATGTCTTTCCTGAAGAAGAATGGTACTGGATAGGCATAGCAGCCCTCTTGGGGTTTGCTGTTCTCTTTAATGTACTCTTCACCTTTGCGCTCATGTACCTTAATCGTAAGTTGTATCACTCATTAACGTTTAAGATAGATTTTACTAGAACATCTAACGTTCCAATTCTGTTTGACACGATAGCTCTAGGAAGTCAACAAGCTGTAATATTCAAAGAGCGGACAAAAGGAATGGAAGCTGACGAAGAACAAAGCAAAAAAGCAACAAGGCATAAAAAAACGAAGTTGAAAATGGATCCAGTCCCCATATCTTTGTCTTCCATTGAAGAAAACAACAGAGGTAACAATCAGCAAAAATATGTGTGTAGAATCAGTTAGAAGTGTCAGATTCACTCATATATAGCTGATTAATTTCTTTAACTAGGGGAAATTACAACGCAGCGGATGAGCAGCCATTGTAATGTGAATGAGTCGAACAGAAATGAAGATTCTATTCTTGGTGCTACACCTAAGAAAGGAATGGTTCTGCCATTCACACCTTTAGCCATGTCATTTGACAATGTAAATTACTTCGTGGAGATGCCCCGGGTATGAACCGTATCCATCTAATCCTTTCTTGTGTTAAATAATAATTAATAAATAATCAGAACTAAATTTTTTGGTAATTTGAAGAGTTTAAAATGTAGTATTACAACTACAATGCGGAAACATAAACTCTCAAAATGTAAAATCGAACCAAACATGACACACTTAGTAAAATCGAACCAAACATGAAACACTTAGTAGCCATAGGGTCCAATTTACTCTTAACCTGATGTGTATAAGCTGCACAACCAAAAACTCTAATGTGTGACAAATCTGAGGTTTTTTTAGACCATAACTCTTGGGGAGTCTTGAAGTTAACAGAATTAGAAGGTGACCTATTTATCAAACGCGCAGTAGTACACACGACTTCTCCCTAGAAACTTTTAGACAATCCTAAACTATTCATCATACATCCGACTTTATCCATTAAAGAGCGATTCATCCTCTCCGCCACACCATTTTGTTTGGGGATATGTCTCATAGTCCTATGCCTTATTATACAATTTCCCTCGCAAAAACTATCAAATTCAAAGTTGCAAAACTTTATACCATTGTTTGTATTAAGAGTTTTCACACTCATTTTCAACTAAGGTAAGTCAGGACTTAAACTTACTAAAAGTTTCAGATTTGGATTTAAGGAGATACACCCAAACTTTCCTCGAGTGGTCATCAACAATGGATAGAAAAATATGGTCCCTCCATGTGTAGGATGTTTTTCTGGAACCCACAAGTCTACATGAATGTATTCCAATGGTCTCTTAGTACTGTGTTCACCTATCCCAATGCTAACCTGATGTTACTTTCCTAGAACACACGTCTCAAAAAGCTCAAAGGTGTAACACTATCCTTATCAAGCAAATTCTGCTCACTAAAATATTTCAGCCCCTTGTTCCCAATGTGTCCCATCCTCTTATGCCAAAGATCTAATCCATTTTCACGTACTCAATTTGCTGCATGAGGCTTCTCCTTGAGGACATATAGCCCATTCCTCTTGTGACCTTTCATAACCACTAAAAACATTTTACAAATCTTTAAAGTACCAACATAAGATCTCAACTCATAACCTTCTTCTTCTAGAGATCTTCTAGAGTGCCTAAGGAAATAAGATTCATTGCCGGGCTCGGGACATACCTAACACCTCTAAGGGGTCTAATAATGCCATCATGCATCCTAATAACAATATTTCCTACTCTCTCCACATTGTGTGTATGATCATCCCCCAAGTATACTTGGATTAACATCTCTGTAGTTATAGAATCAAGACTTAACATGACACATATGAACAGTGGCACCTGAATCTAAAATATACTCAATATCAAAATCAAAATCAATATTAAAAATATTCATAACATATATGTTATCACGGGCATGATATACATCAATGTCAGAATCTCCATACACAATTATAACATGTAGACAATCAAGAGAATCACCTACAGCAACTAAGTTATGATTATCACTCTGCTGCGGTCTCTGTTTCTTATTAAGGTCATTGCAGTCTCTCTTGAATTGCCCTCTTTTACCATAATGAAAGCATTTCTTACCACTCTTACCTCTAGACTTGGACCTACCATTCGATTTTCCTCTGCCCTTCTTACTTTCAAGTAGTTCTCAATCGTCTCATTCCTCCCTCTAACAAACAAACTCCCTTCTCTCGAGCTACCCCTCTACTCTTTCTTAATTTCTAGCTCCCCAACCCTCAAAGCATCAATCACAATATCTTAGGTCAAAGTATCCCTAGCAAATGTGATAACATTCCTAACATTTATATGGGATTCAAGCATAGCATTCAAAAGTATAACCGCTAGATACTCATCACAAAATTTCTTATCATTGTGGGCCAAACATTTGACGAGTTTGTTAAAGTCACTCATTTTGGATTCAAGATCATTTCCCAAGTTTAGCTTAAAACTGAAAAGTTTTTGAAGTAAATAAATTTTGTTTGGAAGAGATTTTTCCAAAAATAGTTTGTCAAGTGCTTCCCACAACTCTTTGACAATCTTATGTTGTTCAACTTATTCTAAACATCATTAGATAAATACAATATAATCAAACTATGTGCAATTTCATTCACCTCAATACTTTTATCCGATTTAACTTTTAATGCATTGCATATTTTTCCAGGTCATCAAGAGTTTTAGAAACTTTTTGTTGGGTTAAAATAATTTTCATTTTTTGCTTCCAAATGGAATAATCTTCTTTACCATTAAATTGCACCAATTCAACTCGAGAGGTCATGGTAGCAAAATAATGGTTTTCGAAAAAATCTTACTTAACCAATTTACTCACACACAAATATAAGCTCAAACCAATTTATGTAGAAATTACTTTTGATAATATCATAACAAGTAACATATAAACAATATCACAGGAATCAAATAATAATATGATAGCAAATAACGCAATATCTCAATTGTAAATTCGAGAGGGTGTTAGATGCGCAGACCGAGCGAATCAATATGTTGATTCATATTTTAAGGAGAGATGCGAGTCTTTATTGATCTAGGGCCTCCACTAACTACTGCAACCCCCAAGAAACACCACCGAGCCGCCAACGAAAAAGCTTTCTCCATTTTTCCTTTTTGCCTAAGACTGTATCTGCTTCCACCAAACTAAAATCCAAACCACTAGGAGGTCAGAAAATTTTCAAGGAACAAACTGTCTTTTTTCACCTCCACCAAATTCCTTTTCACCCGCCTCCACGAGCGGCCATTGTCCTCACATGCTGCCTCTACTGTCGGCGTGTATGTCTCATGTGTTATACCTGCAGCTTCTGCTTGTCATCTAGAGTCTGGTGTTGGTCGCCATTCATCCACAAAATGAGTTTAAAGATTCAAGTTTACTAGTTTTCGACCAAACTGAACCCCTTCAACTTCCAATCTGATTTTTAGTTTGTTATAAAACTTTATACAACAAGCCTAAGCTATGATATCATTTGTAGAGTTTAAAATGTAGTGTACAAATGATTATTACAATTACAATGCGAAAACATAAACTCTCAAAGTGTAAAACCGAACTAATAGACCAAAAGCTTCTTCAACACCATCAATGGAGTGTCCTGTAATGTTGAACTCAAATTTGTGCCACACCAGATTATGCACCGTCGTCCACGGGAATGATAATGGATATATTGAGAAAAGAATCCGTCGGAAGCCACCAAGAATTTTGTCCGAGATATGAACCTCTCCTACTTGGTTACCTCTATATGCCTACTCTCGTTTGTTATGCCAAGTCCAAGTGAAACAAGTGAATGAGTCTTGCAATTACAGAGCCAAAGTACCATTTGAATTCAAATTCAAATATTGTACTATGAAAGGGACATAACTAATAGGGTAATTGACAACAAGATTAAATTCAAATGGGAGATAATCTATGATCCATAATACCCATCAACTAGCACAATCATTTCCAAGTGCTCAAGGCCAATAATCATGTGCCAAGTGGATTTAAGTGATCCACCTCACATACTTGCTACTGAGCTAACCTGGAAATCAGTTGTTAATTTAATTACCATGTTATAATAAACTTGTCCATTTGCAACAGGAAATGAAAGAACTAGGAATTACCGAGGACAGACTCCAATTACTTCGTGAAGTTAGTGGCACGTTTAGGCCAGGAATTTTGACAGCATTGATGGGAATAAGCGGTGCAGGAAAAACTACACTAATGGATGTTCTAGCTGGACGAAAGACTCTAGGTTATACTGAAGGTGACATTAGAATATCTGGATTCCCAAAGAGACAAGAAACATTTGCCAGAATTTCGGGATACTGTGAACAATATGATATTCATTCACCTCAAGTAACTGTCTATGAATCTTTGATTTACTCAGCTTTCCTTCGGCTGCCTAAAGAATATGGAGAGGATGAAAAGATGGTAATAACTTGCATTTATGATAACATGAAAAATAGGATATTCTAATAGATTAAACACTAGATGACTAAAACATGCTACTCATTCGTATTCTTTGCAGATTTTTGTGGATGAAGTAATGGATCTGATTGAACTAGATAATCTCAAGGATGCTATAGTAGGGATCCCAGGAGTTACTGGGCTGTCAACAGGACAGAGAAAGAGATTGACCATAGCAGTTGAGCTTGTAGCTAATCCCTCAATCATATTCATGGACGAGCCGACATCTGGTTTAGATGCAAGAGCAGCAGCCATTGTCATGAGAACCGTGAGAAACATTGTCGACACAGGCAGAACAGTGGTTTGCACGATTCATCAGCCTAGCATTGATATCTTTGAAGCGTTTGATGAGGTAAAACACAAACTCACCTGATGATTACCCTCCAAATTATTCTGATTCCCTTCCCTCAAGTGCAGAGTTTTGTGCCCCTACCACTTATTCTATCCTTTTTGCATCAGCTCCTTCTCATGAAAAATGGAGGTCAACTTATATATGCAGGACCATTGGGCCAGCATACACAGAGTATCATTGAATATTTTGAGGTAGTTCATAGTCTAGAAATGTTTTTCTTCCTTACAGAAAGGCATGTGAAATTAAAGATTCTGCCATTCTATGTAGGCAATTCCAGGGATCCCAAAAATGAAAGAGAAGTATAATCCAGCAACATGGATGCTAGAAGTGAGCTCAATGTCCATGGAAGCCCGTCTCGGTATTGATTTTGCCGAGTACTACAAGTCAACGACCATTTATCAGTAAGATTGATGCTCTGCCAAATGCCTAAATGATTCAAAAATTTCAAGCACTGATCTGATATATATTTGGCTGTATCTAGGCAAAATAAGGCTCGAGTAGAAGAGTTGAGCACACCCCCTCCTGGAGCACATGACCTTCATTTTCCTTCTCAGTATTCTCAGCCCACATGGGACCAATTCAAATCCTGCCTCTGGAAGCAATGGTGGACTTACTGGAGAAATCCTGATTATAACCTTTCAAGATACTTCTACACTCTTGCCACAGCTCTTATGGTTGGAACAATATTCTGGAATGTTGGCACGAAAAGGTTTGTATCTACACTTGTTGAATCAACAAGGTCTTTCAGAATACTGGCCACATTCTAATTACATCTTTCTTATCAAATGATACAGGGAAAGCAATACTGATGTTTTGACAATAATTGGGGCGATGTTCGCTTCTGTGTTGTTCGTCGGAATTAATAATTCCACAACGGTTCAGCCAGTGGTAGCCGTTGAGAGAACTGTGTTTTATCGGGAGAGAGCAGCAGGCTTTTACTCTGCATTACCTTATGCCATGGCACAGGTGATGATTCTACTTCATATTTTAGTCATTCATAATTCAGCATTCATTCTTTCAAAACTCCATTTTAGAAATCAAATTTTTAGTTAGACTAGCATATAATTCCATAGCAGAAAATAAAAATGGAGACCTGAATAAGAAATTATAAATGTAATTAAGCATATATCGATTCAATTAAGATTCCTTTGTTACTTGACATGCAGGTCATTATAGAAATACCTTATGTACTCCTGCAAACTGCATATTATACGGTTATAGTGTACGCCATGGTGAGCTTTGAATGGGCAGCGGCTAAGTTCTTTTGGTTCTTCATCATAACTTTCCTCTCATTTCTCTACTTCACATACTACGGAATGATGGCTGTTTCAGTCACGCCAAACCAACAAGTTGCAGCAGTCCTTTCGAATTCCTTCTATTATCTTTTCAATCTATTCTCTGGTTTCTTCATCCCCAAACCGGTAAGTTAGTTTACTCGAAAGTACTGATATCTATATTTCTTTCTGGTCATCGACCTCAAAATTT